TCTAATTTTTTTACTATGCAATTATAGTCACAAATACCAAACACTTTTCTCTCAGTGTATTTGTATTCATATTTATAAAGAAAAAAAGCGACGTAATATAAAATATACACTCACACAAAAAAGAATATAATAGATGCACTTGATATATTTAATTTTAATACATAAATTAATTATAATTAATGTATATTATTTAATTATAATAATTATAATTAATATTATATTATTTTAAACTGTTCTGATATTACATATCTACATATAAAAAATATATATAAAATGATATAAATCTATATAATCGAATAATCTTTTTTATTCTATAGATATTCCACATATATGCATATCTAAACAATTAATTTTTATCTTGCTAGATAAAAATCTAGGAATAGCTGAATGCAAAGTTTTTTTTCTTATACATATAGCTACAAAAATTTGTAGCTATCTCTATTTCTCTTTGCGCATGATATAAACTTTCAGGGAACATCGTAGTTTCGCACATTCCTTGTTGCTAATTTTGTCATCGCAAGGTAATAAAATGACTCGAAGATCGGAGCCAAGTTCCAAATTCTCGAGCGGCATGGTTTATTTTGATCCTCCGCTCGGTCAATTATTAATCGTGTACACGGAAATAATAGCGGGATATCGGCGTACGTTTACACAAGTCCTGATTGTTACGAACGGGTTACGAGCGCAGTACGTCATATCGTACACACTTGCCACGTGAAAATACGTAATTCCGGAAGCCGCCAAGCGATCACATTCGCGCGTATATATGTGAAGTCGAAACATAACGGCAGCAGTAGCAACAGCAGTTCCATTAAATGCAAGCTTTACGATTCAAACACAAAGCGAATGCTTCTGTACGGATAAAGCGTTTTATACGCGACTTAATCCTTTCATTACTTGTCTCTATTTCCGTGCTTGTACGGCATTTACGATAGTAATCGTAATGATGATGGTAGTGCTAATAGTGCCGTTATAACATTCCGGGTATTGACGATATTATTCTATATTATTATAGATTTTTATTTAACGAGATAAAAATTAATTATGTATATATTATGTGGGATATTTACTGATAAAAAAATTATTCTGCTAGGCTTTTATTATAGTATTATAGTATTATTTTAATATTGATAATGCCACTAAGGATGAACATTTTTTATCGATAACTTAGTAATATCGCTGTAATTACATTAAAGATAGAAAATAAAATTACTTTATAATTTGAAGCAACAGTTATAGGCAGAGCACCCACGTGCTCGTAAAATAAAGCTATTAGGGAGCTATTTATGAATCAACAGATGAGTGAAATTGAATGAGAATTTAATGAGAAGATCACTGAAAATCCGATTGGCGTAACGAATTACTAGTTTCACCTCGCTGCTTTCTGCACGTACTTTAACGATCGTATTACATTTAATGATTTTCCGCGAGTTTGATTTTGATGTAAAACGACGCAACGGTGTAAACTCGCTATAAATTTTCAAATGAAAAACATAGAATTCTGAAATATCGAGATAGCACGACTGTAAACATCGTATGGCTTTACCATACCGAAAATATCACGTCGCACATTACAAGAACTCGTTTCCACTCGCTCTCCAATTCGCGTCAAATTCACGTGTAATAAATATTACATAACTTTGAATTACAAATATCAAATCGTGAGTAAGGCTGTCAGAATAGCAATAAAGTGGCACATCTTCCTTCGTGTGTTCTTCCTGCGTTACAGGAGAATATGTTATTAGTTTTATATTTTTCTCTCTCTTTTAGCAAACCAGATTTCTATGATATACAAATAAAATAATGCTGTTTTTAATTTCAATTCTTTATGGAAGATGACTTATTACGTAAAAAAAAATTAAAATAGTTATTCAAGATATAGACAGATTACTTTGTCTGAAAAATACAACGCACATAGAAAATCGCAAACTTGAAACATATAGAGAGCTCATAACTTTGTGAATCATTGCCTAAATTTTTGTAAACTTCTTTGTTTTCTGAATTTATTCTTTTATTTTATTTCCATAGAGAATTAAACATAGAACTCCAGAATGTTTTTTTTTTTTTACTTTTTGTGAACCGAATATATTTCTATAAACTGCAAATATAACTAAAACATGAAGTAATATTATTAATTTTATAAACAACAATAACAATATTAATTATAAGATAAAAATTTATTATATTATTTAATTTGTCGGTTTAATATAGTGTATAACAGAAATATTTTAAAGTACTTGTTTCCAATGTTAAGAATTTTATGTTAAAAATTGAATCTTAATGCAGAGCGATACAAACTTCAAGAAGAGAGAAAAGTTTCAACAGCGACAACAACTTAAATAAACTCAAGGAAAAACTTGTAACTACAAAAATTTAATACCGTACTGAAAAGCTTTCAATAATCAGGAATATTTCACAAATTAACTCCATTGTTCCGCTTTGAATATTGAAAAAATGTTACTAATATTGTCGCAATAGTTTTGCAAAATAACGTTTTACGTTATTTTTTGTTTTATTTTAATCAAATTTGAATTTACATTGTATTGTGTTAATTGTACCGCATCAAAATTGCTTGCATAAATGATAATGTCATCGGCTGATGAAACTCTCACAGCTCGCCGGTCCGTGTTCCCAAGGAGATTTTGCGAATGTAACACCGAACTCGATTCGAAACCATGATAGACGCTGACGACTGATCGGTGAGGCCTGTCGATACCAGTAGCCCTCGCCACTTCGTGTCAATTCTAGCGATCTCTTACGATCGAAACTTCCCTTGACCAATATAATCGATCAGCTGCCTGATAAACTACCGATTCCTCTTATTTTTCTTTAATAGTTTTCTTGCAATGAACTTTATCTATTTTTTTCGTATTTATTATTTGATTGTATTAGACGATTATATATTTTTATTTGAATCATTTAAGTAAAATTAATTAAATTATCAGTTTTACCTCTTAAAAGATATATGATTTACATATATGACTTACATTTTTCTAATAATTTTAGAAATAATTATATTAAAGAAACAATAATTTGATGTTTAGAAATTGGACAGGTCGAAAAAAATTATTATTAAATCATAATTACTTAATTATAACAAAGCTTTTTGCAAGAATAGGATGCATTGAGAATCAATAAATTACTAATTATAGTAGTAAGGGAATGCTAAAGTAATAATGCAAGATATTTATCACTTGTGAAATTGCTAAGTAATTTTTATTTTCATTTTATTTTTATTTTATTTTTATTTTATTTTCATTTTATTTTTATTTTATTTAAAGTAATTTATATAAACATCTCTTTTCTTCATTCCAAATTAAGATTTTAAAATGTAATTTTTTTTATCAGTCAAAACAGCGCTCTGACAGAACATTGTAGGATAGCTGGCCGAATGCGTACCTTGAAAAGACATGTAGGTAATTGCATAGTAAAGGCTTTCAGCCGAAAGCCCAAAGCATAACCTGCACAATAGAGAACGCGTTGCAACAGAGAACTCGTATCGCTAGGGATTCGCTGAAAAAAAAGAAAAAAAAAATAAAACAGCTGCATACCACGCGCGTAGCCATTTTTATCTTATATTCCGGGCCAGTTCTCCCCAAGGAAACATTCCCAGATGTAGCGAAAGTACTATAAAAAAAGTATATATATGTTTGAAATCCCTTACGTATAGTAAATGTGTATATCGCATACACTACTCGATGAATTCGATATATATTTCGCTATATGTATCTTGACTTTATTTTATATATTGAAAAAAAATTTTGGTTGAAAATTAACAAATTAGAAAATTTTAATCATATCAATCAAAATTCTGTTTTATACATATCAACTAGAATTATAATAGAGTCAATCAAAAAATTCTATAATCTATTGATTTTCAATCCAGAATTTTAATTAATGCAGATTCTTTTTCTCAGTGTAATCAATTATATGTTAATTCAATTTTTTTGTTTGCAAAATAATAATTTATAAATAAAATTAAATAATTTTGTTAATAATTAAAATTATTACTTAATATATGAATGTAACTGCACGTAAAAAATGAATGTATAGTAGTTTATACAATCTGAGGTTTATAAAATTAATTTTTTACATTTTTCCGATCCCTTAATTAAGTAAGTCTGCTTCTATCAACAAAAAGAAATATTTATATTTTTAGTTTTTTTATATTTAAAATATTTAAAATATTTCTAATTCCGTGTTCTATATTCTACATTCTGTATTCTACATTCTGCAGTTTTTATTTTATATTACATATTTTGTGCTTTTTAATTCTACATTCTTTTTCTTATTTTCTGTGTCCAATTTGTTTAATTTATAACATAATAATTTCCACTTTGTATTAAATTGCGCTTATAATAAAGTACCAACTTGTTTTATTTACTGAAGAATTCCTTTGCAATATCGAAACGATGTTTGAAGCATGCAATATCGAGAACTAATAGTAAAACCTCCTATCCAACGTGTCTATAATACTTAACGAACACGATGTATTTACTCTAACAGGTTTATTCAGCAAACTTACAGAGAATACTATCACGCTTGCAAAACAATATTTGCTGTGGCTTGTAACACGTAAATTGTTGCAAGGTGTAAAATCAAGTATTTGTATAGAATAATACATGAAATATAATATAGGAATGTTGAAAGTAATGTGATATAATTATGCTTCACGCAAAACAAATGCAGGCATTGTCACATTTTTTAAATGATTATATGATACAATACAGTAAATGGCACAAATTTTAATGATATCAATTGTTGAGATATTTGCAGAATATTTATAAAGTTTATTGTATTTAATAATGCACTGAAAAAAAATCTTAATTTCAAAGAAATATCTCTTTGCTCGTATTCAAAAAAATTATTTCTTTGGATCAATGAAAATTTTTTAAAAAATAAAATATTGTACTTTCAAAGAAATAAGATATTATATTTTTAAAAAAATTTTCATTGATCTAAAGAAATAATGTTTTTGAATACGAGCGAAGAGATATTTCTTTGAAATTAAGATTTTTTTTCAGTGTGCTTTATACGAAATGGAGTTACACTAAAAGAATAAATATTTTAATAATGTAGAAAGATTTGTTTTGAGTTATTATACGAATAATAGTTAGTTACAATTGGCGTTAATATTTAAATATTAGGTATTGGAATTAATTCGTAGCGTTTTTTAATGAAAGAATGTTATTTATTTCACATGAGCATTAAAAAATACATTAATGAAAGTACTTCCCATCACTTGTAAAACGCTACGAATTAATTCCAACACCTAATACTATTAATGTTTGACGACATAATGAGATATTAATTATGAATAGATATAATATACTGTTGTCACTGTTGATGTACTTTAGTTTTTTACAGAATTATTATTCTCTCTAATTTTTATTCTATTTTATTTGGTTTTTTATAAAAATAAAATTTCGAATGGAAAAATAAAGGAGTAAAACATTCACAGGATACGAATCGTTTGATGACAATAACGTTAAACATTGATAGTCGTGTAAATATTATCGAACCGACAATGTGATCTTCTCTTTGACACCGCACATCTTGCTTCTTTTACACGATCGATTAATCGTAAAAAGTTAGCAATTGTATTTTTTAAGAAAAAGAAACCATATTAGAATTGTATAAGAACATTTCAATAATTGTAAAATAATGAATTTTCTACAATAGATCTTTACATTTAGATCTTTCACTTTTTTTTTATTTGGAATTATTAACAAAAAAATTTTATAATCAAGAAAGAAAATTATTTAAAAAACAATTTTATATGATAAACATTTATCATGTTTTATTACGTTTTATAGAACAAAAATATATTCACGACTCCAGTATATTTTAAGAAATTAAAACTTAAACATCTTAAAGTATACAAGATGATAAAAATTTTCCTGCATTTTTGTTACCTTCTAATTTATGTAAAATATGTCGACATACAATTTTCTTTTAAAAGATGTGTTTTTACGGTGAATAAGTAATTATATGTAAACGTGCTATTTTATTCTTTTGATTTGATCAGCTGTCCTTTTAAATAAAACAGAAGTTAAGGCTATTCCTCTGAAAAGCAAAATTAACAGTCTCTAGATATTTAACATAAATCAGTTGATTACAAAAAGATAAATTAGAAAGTTTTTATTAACTGATTTTATATGTTACATTAACATTATTTTGAAAAATCATTTTAATTTAGAATATATATATATATATATATATATATATATGTAATTGCAAAATTGTAACTAATAATGCAATTACATGTGTCGAAAGTATATAAAAAGTATCGAAAATTCTAACAATTAAAAGATTATGAACATATGAATTTTTGATTAAATGAATTCTAATGCAAGACTGTACTATCAACGCTAGTCAATCGCGAGAAATTGATGAATTGAAGATGAACTTTTAGTGGATGAACTTGAACTGAGTTAACAACAATTGAAATTGACCTCGTAACGAATGAGCATTTATCAATTCCTCGATTGGCGATATGTCTAAATGAAACGTTCATCACGAAACAAATATATGTCATCATAATTTAGAAACAACTATACATGTTTGCGATTATATAGAAACAAGTTTGATAATAAATAGGACGAATTATTACTAATTGATGTGAAGATATTTTTACTAATATTACATTAATTTCTTCTTTTTATTTTTTTAGTTTCATGTCATTTATAATAATCGTACAATTTAAAAAGATATTAATTATTAATTTTTTATTTATTAAAAACGTAGATTTGCTTTAATAATTTTCTTTGTACACTCTTGTATATATATGTGTGTGTGTGTGTGTGTGTGTGTGTGTGTGTGTGTGTGTGTGTGTGTGTGATCTTTTTTCCTACCTTTAAATAAAGTATAAAGTCTTGTTTACAAAATTTATAATACGTTTCCAAATCTTCAATTTTACATAAAAAACAATCTTATATTAATATATATTAAATAATAATTACAAATTCATTTAGATATATTTTGTATACAAGGTGTCCGCAAAATCGCCCGCAATACTTTAAGAAGTGATCCAAAAAAAGGAAAAAAAGCTATAAATCGTTTCTGAGTTATAATTACGTTCATGTTAAAAAAATTGTAATTTATTTTTCATAATTACAATCATAATTTATTTCATAATGTTTTAAATAACTATAACATTTCAGACTATTTTGGCGTATCCAGAATGCACTATGTGGAGACATTCGCTTGGCATCTCTCTTTTTTAATTAAAAAATTTTTTTATTTTACTAAGGATGCTAAGCGAACTATGTCTCCAGATGGCGCATCCTGGATAACGCCAAAATAATCCAAAATGTAGTTATTTATGTGAAAACACTATGAAATAACTTAT